CCGTGAAGTTCACAGCATCCTAAACTGCCCGTTTGTCCCAGCCAAGGGTTTCCCACGTGATCCTGGTCTCGCTCTCTCATGTTGCAAAATTCCTGACGGGCACTAACAGGTATGCACTAAAGGGGAGGGGTTCAACCCTGTTTTTAAGGTGGTGGGACAGCAGGACCTGCTTCCCCTGTGCCCGGACAGCAAGACCACCTAAGGGAGGAGAGATAGGCAAGCCATATGCCAAGCCAGACACTGACCCACAGAGGGTCAGCCCTCTCCCACTTCTCCATGTGAGAGAAACCCAAGACGCGGACTTGAAACGTGAGCTCTCTGGGCTCAGCACCGGATGGCATCTCATAGAAAGTACCTAGCACCTCACCACCTCGTGGACACAAAGAGGTCAGCAGCCTCCCAGAAGGAGCTACGCTGGTCCACTTGGGCACAGCAATGCCAACTGTCTGGGGGCTGCAGGGCAAACATACTGGCTACAACAGAGACCAGCTTCGAGGTTTACAAATTTTGCAAAATCCACAAGCAAGGAGCTATACTTGATGTCATTTTCTGGAAACTGAAACTTAATGCCAGCAAGGTGTCCCACTAATTCCTACAATATGCAGCTGAGCAGGCCAGAAAGCAGCAGGCTCCCTGGGTGGGGCGGGAGTCGGCACATGACCACATCCCCCGCCCCCAGGCCCCACTGAAACCACGAGGACAGGGAGCAGGAGCCTTTGTCAGAAGGCTGGTGAGCAGGTCTGCCAGCAAACCTGGGGCAGAGAAGAAGGACCAGGAGATGTGATAGGGAGACCACACCAGGCCCACCAAGACCTGGAGACCCAGAGGCCATGACACCACAGAGGAAGCACAGGACACCACTCAAGCTGGCATCATCCATGGGACTGCAGGAAGAGATGGAAGAGCAGTGGCAGGGAAGGGGGGGGGGGGCGGTCCAGGGCCAAATCTGCCAGGCTGAAGTGCTCCTAAAACCTACCACTCAAATCCTGTATCAGAACGGGAATAAAGCAGGAGGGGCAACAGCAGACCAGCTGGCAGACAGGCCCTCAAGAGCTGGAACAGTAGCTAACCACCTTACGTGGATGCCCTGACCCTGGAGGCCCACAGGAACCCAGAGAACAGGAGAATGGACATTACCTTGTAAGGGGAGATGTGTGTGTCTGGCGGGAAGGCCAGCATGCCCATGACCTGGCGGACCTCATCCAGCTGGCTCCCTTCAGCCTGACTGAAGTGCTTTCTTGCATGTCTAAAAAACAACGTTTTGGCATATTTCAGTGTGCACTTTCATCCTTAAGGGCCCACTCTCACAGTGCTCAGGCCAGGGTCAAGGCTCACAGGGAGTCGGTCCTTGGCCCTGGAGGTTCTGGTGGGCAGGGCCTGTTGGGGGACAGGCAAAGCAGAAGCTGGGCTCACCAGGGTTGGAAGAGCGCTGCCCCAAGCCCTCCAAAACAACTCTAACCGCGCTGGATGCCCAACCCAGGGCTGGGAGGCTATCTTGCCTCCTGGCATAGCCCTCCCTGCTGTACACAGCCCAGCCTTCCACCCAAGTGTGCAAGCCAACACAGCCATGGTCCTTCATGAGTGACATACACAGTGGGCTCCTGGCCTAACCTGCAAGGGTTATACAGCTGGAGGACCAGCCGCTCCCCTCTGAGCTACCCAAGGGTAGCTGCTCACCCCAAAGGCCCTCTGCCCATGTGTCCACAAACCTTCCCAAGAACTCCCACAGGGTGGAGGCCGCTGGCCACTGGTGCTCACTGTCCCTATAGCTGTCCAGGGGATCCACACTCACACATGCCCTTGGTCTACCACTGAATCCTCGGCACTCACAGGTCCTCTTCCCCTGGAACCAGCCCCTTGGTCCCAGGGACCAGTGACAGCACAACCCATGCCCCCAAGTCCCCAAGCCCTGTATTGTCAGAAACAAGGTGTGAAGGGGTGGAGGCTGAGAAGGGGGTAGGAGGTAGGGAGATCCCTGCTCAGGACAGCTGCAGAGGGGCGTGGCTCTACATGGAGACTGGAGTTGGCACAGGAGGTGGCCAAGTAGTCCCAGAGGAATAGCAAGGTGGCCATGAGGCTGAAGCGCCAAGGGGCAGAAGAGGACACTAGGTGTGGAGAGTGTGGCCAAGAGGAGCAGAGGAATCCAGGCTCAGGACACACCCATGGGAGTCCACATGGCTGTCCACCCTGTGGGAAGAGTGGCGAGGCTAGCACCCCTCCAGGACAATTGAGGGCTGGTAGGCAGCCAGGCCCCAGAGCTGTGCACAGGCAGGTCTGACACCTACTTCCAGGACCACAGAGCCAACTCTCCTTAATGAACCCACCAGTGTGAGACACAGTGTAGACCACTTAAGACACAACACCACATTTCTCTTTAAAGATGCATATACACAAACATAGCCAGAAGACTAACACCTGACTTGGCCTAGCCAGCTTTAAGGCCTGGGGGCTTAGTGGACATAGTACAGTCCCACCTTCATCAAGTTACTCAGACACCTGGGTCAGGCATGTGGCTTACTCATTTACCAAAAATAAAAAACGTTGCTTGGTACAGTGGCACATGCCTGTTTTCTCAGTTACTCAGGAGGCTGAGACTGGAGGATCGCTTGAGCCCAGGAGTTCAAGGACAGCCTAGGCACCATAGCGAGGCCATGTCTCAACAAAAAAAAAAAAAAAAGAATGTTAGAAGTTAGCCACCAGAAGCTCACGCTTCCACATTTAGCAATGCCCAAGGCAGCAGCCAGAGAGGTCCATGGCCTGGTCCAGCAGCCCCCCCCCCCCCCCCCAAGATTAACAGGCAATAGGCCAGATGACAGGACCCCAACCTTCCCCTGCTCCAGGGGACAGTCCCAGGTAAGCCACACCCTCATCCAGGGCTGGGCTTGCAGGACGGCATGGAGAACGCAGTTCTTCACCTTGCCCAGCACTAGGGCCCAGTTCGGATCCTCAGCAAGACATGCCCCGGCTTCACATTCCTATGCATCCAGTCTCAGCTTCATACCCTGTCCCTCCAAGTTCAGCCAAACCCATCCACCCTCACCCTGCCCAGGTCCTGTCGGTACCTGTCTGCCACCTCCAACCACCCTGGCCAGACCTTCTGAAAAGCCGGCCCTGAGGCTCCCTTCTCTTCCCCCTCAGCCCTACCTGGCACACTTGCCTGCCCTCCCACCCACAAAGGCTCCTGCAGTATCACTCCTAAAGAGAGCTTTCTTTACCTGCTCACACAGCTGACATCCCAGGTGTCCATGGAGGACACTCTCAGGCCATAGCTGCCTGGTGGTCACCCATCAGGTGCTTGCCCTCAGCCAGGCACAGAGCAGGAGCTCAGGACAGCCGATGCCCATTCCCCTGCAGCAGGACCCACACTCCAGGGCCACATCCGCTGCCTGTGCACCTGCACTGCCTAGGAGTGGGACCCACCTGCCTGTTGCAGATAGGGCCCTGCCCCCAGAAGTCATGAGGCTTTAAGAGCTTCTCCCACCCCACTGCCACCTGCCTGAACCTGAGGGGTGCCCAGTCCAGGCCATGCTCTTCAAGGGCCCTCAGTGGTACGTGATGAGAGCACAGAGGGCCTGGTTCTGACTCCAGGGCTGATGTGGTGGCTGAGGCCCTAAGAGGGAAGCAGGCCAGGCCACGCATGGCTGGGCAGATGCCATCCTGTGGGCACGAGGGCCAAAAGGGGCAGGATGGGTGAGTGTGTGGACTGCCCCCACAGCTGGCCCCATCACTGCCCCCAGACCATATGAGTACCTCAGAGCAGCAGGCCAGCTGACCCAACTGCACAAGGGCTATGGATGCAGAGGGGGTACAGCACCACTCCCAGGCCCACCGCTGTGGCTGGGCTCCCCTTCAGTGGGCCTGGCGGTGGACAGAAAAGGAATAAAGACCAGGCTCTCCTGTCCTACCACCGGCTACCCGGCATGGGCACTGGGAGCCAGCGAGACTGGCATGTGGATTCAAGGCAGCCTGCCCTCTATGGGACCTACGACACCTGTTCTGTTCTTGCCCAACGAGGCCCTGGGGATGGCTCACTGCCACCCACCCATAGGACTCAAGGTGGACACAGGCCACCGCCAATCCTCAGCTATCACAGGCAGGGGTTTCCTACTATACCTGTACCTGGCAACTCTCCTGCTAGTCAGATGTGTGTCAGGTGCCCCTTAGCACAGGCTCAGCAGCAGCTCCTCTTGCTGCAGTCCCTAGCTCAGCTGCTCCACCCATGTGCTGCCCTCCCGGCTCAGAGATCCAGGCTTAAGTGGGCAGGAGCCTCAGCAAAGCTAGAGTGAGAAAAGCCTGGTGACTAAGGACCAGCCACTGCCTCTGCCCCCAGCACAGCACACACTGGCCAACAGCACCCAGCTCAAGCGCCAGGAGGACATCATGAGGCTGCTGACAGAAGACGAGCGGGTCTGGGGCAAGGAAGGGGAACCGGCACTCAGCCACCTCTCTGTGGGCACTCGCGTCTGACCAAGGATAAGCAAAAACGCCATCCTCATCCCTGACTGCCAGGTGAGGCTGTGTAGGTAGTCAGCCAAGGTTCCCTTAGTCTTTGAGCCAAAGATGGGACAAAGAAGCCCAGCTGTGCCCACAGAAAGCCCTAAGGTGCTCTTCTTGCTGCCAGTCGTCTCGCAGATGGCCATGTATGGAACAACCCAGACTAATGAACTTTCAACTGATGGTGGCCCAATCCTGTCAGGGCATTCCTGCTGCCAGCAGCTTGTGGCACTTTCCAAGTGGGAAGATAGGAGCCCAGAGCCCTGACCACAGGTTCATGTAGACGGTCATGACACCACAGGCCACCACACTACAAGACCCACTGTCACCATGCATCCTCCTCTAGCACCCAGACTGTGAGGACGGGGCAAGGGGACATGGCAGCCCTCACATGAGAAGCTGGGAGCAGCCTGAAGTCCTACCTTACAGCATCTAGGCGCTTGTTCTGCCGAACGAGCTCGATGAACTCCTGGATCCTGAGGCTGAACTCCAGGCAGCTCTGAGGGCAAAGAAGAGACGCTAAGTTAAGACAGCGGAGTGCCGGTGCCGGTATCAGTGCCGGTGCCGGCGCCAGTGCCAGTGCAGCACCAGGCATCTGGGGAAAGTGCTCAGGCATCCCATCCCCAGCAGGCCCTCTGACTGGCCGGAGAGGCAGGGCTGCAGCCAAAGAGGCTGCTTCATTCACCCTGTGACAGACACTTCCCAGCAGGGTCCACACCGCACTGCAAGCCCATAAGCCTGGGCCACCCAACATAGCCTCAGTGGGAGTGGAGCCATGTTTCCCCTGGGGGGGTCCATGGCACCAAGAGGCACCCAGGAGCCTGGCATGGGGTTGCCGGGTGGGCAGGAGCAGTGGGTGTGGACCAAGTTGCCCAATGGACTCACATGAAAAGCTGTCACGAAGGTGGGCAGCAGCCAGGAACCATTACCAGCTCACTGGGTGTGGGGGAAAGGCTCGCAGTCCCACACGGAACCCGTCCATTCCACAAAGGGCAGAGGAGTTTTCTGGTTCCCATGTGTCCTCAATGACCTTGTGCACTCGAGTACCCCCAAGCCTTCTTCCCCCCATGCGATATCTTCTCCTATTGCCCCCAAGCCTGAGACTCAGTGCACTTCCAGTCTGTGCCAAAGGCTATTCTGGAAAAATTCAGACAAGCCAAGGTCAAGAGGCTCTAACACTAGGCAGGAGGAGACAATGAGAGAACAAGTGGGTGCTGGATGGGCTACAAGGTATAACCTCGTAGGGGCTGCCAAGGAACACCTGAACAAAGATGCACAGGTGCAGGGCCAGATGCAGGAAAGTGTCCCAAGCAAGAAGTGTGAGCCAGCGCAAAGGTCCCGCCTGGAACAGGAGGTGCCATACCTGCAGAAGCCGAGGCTCCTGCTATGACCTTACCGCCCACGTCAGCCAGGGTCAGGTGGAGACGGCGGAAGGGTGGTTCCTGCAGAGGGCAGAAGCCCCAGGATTTGCTGAGGCCATGAGAGAGGTCTGGGTTGGCGCTATGCCCAGAGGTGGGAAGGGTTGGGGAAGAAGGTTGGGGGTGAGGTCCGAAGGTGTCTGCCTAGAGGCACCACAGTGACTGGGGGATGGTACAGAGTCCACAGTGGGGACAGCCAGCATGGAAACTCAAAGCTGCTTTGAAACCAGCCGTATCAATCCTATTTCAGCTGGAAATCTTGTGCCTGGGGATAGGGCCAGCAGGCATAAGTAAATTCTCAAACTCGGGAAAAGGTGGATCTTTCTATACAAACAGTAGTAGCTTGAACCTGAGACTGTCAGTGTGTGTGCCTGGGGCTCCTCACCCACACGGGACGTTGATCCCACAGCATCCAAAGTACGTGATGGCACGGACCTGGGGCCCAGAGTTCCTCTATGTCATGAACTTCCCCACTAGGCCTCCTCAGCCTGCACACTGTGTCCCAAGGGCCACCAGCCTGAACCTGCAGAGCATGTTCGACCCCTGCCAGGACCCCACTGCAACACACCATGACCATTCAGGAGCAGCTGCACCAGCTCTGAATAGAAGGTGACGCGGGACAAAGATGGTCGGCTGCCCCCACCCCTCGCTCCTCCCCCTGCACCCAGACTGAGGAGCAGCCAGGCTGGAGGCAGAAGCTGCCCTGATTCCCAAAAGGGAGCAAGCTCTGCAGAGAGTGGCAGGTTCGGTACAGACCCACTAGACAAAGGCAGCTCACCACAGGGCACCGTGGGCGTTCTGCTCTTTTGCAATGTTAGACTCTGGGTCCCTACAGAGGCTCCACCTTCCCTGGGTCCTTCCTGCCTCCCTGGGCTACTCAATGACCACTGATTCTGCAGTAGGTGGCCATCAGCAGGCTCTGACTGAAAAAAAGAAGTCACTTTGTAGACCTCTTACAAAAGCAGTTTTTTGGGTAAAACTCCAGGTCACTGCTTTGCAAAAGGTACACTTTTAAATTTGAATTTCCTATTTAGAACCACTCTTTGATCTACCCGATCACTTTCAAATAGTCTACTAGCAGGGTAGTGCAAACGTGCAGTAGCAAAAAGGTCTCCAGACCTGCACGCACAATACGAGCCCATGGAGCCACATGGGTGTGAACACTACACCAGGCCTAGGGCCTCCGTGCAGCCTTTCCATGTGCCTCTCTAGACCTGGGGTGCCCTGCAGAGCATGCTCTGCTCCTCAGTGTCCCTTGCAGTCTGGATGTCCAAGTCAGTTCAACAGATGTGAACTTGGCACCCTCTCATTTAAAGTTATTTTCCAACTCGGTGGAACTGGGTCTCCAGGTTCATACCCACCTAGACTCTCCTGCCTCTGACGAGGTTCCTCCCTTGCTTGCCTCCCCTCCCTGTGCAAGTGGAGAGCATCCTCTGTTTAGCAGGCATTCACAGTGGGGCAGCAGTGCCTGCCCACATACTCCTGGTCAGCGCTAGGCCAGTGTTCCCTCTTAGACTCCTAGACACTGAATCATGCTCTCTTGCCCACACAGAGTTACCTGCAGCGCCCCTCACCTCTCAGACCTTGCCTACAGCAACATCCACCCACAGCTGGATGGAGACCACACAAGCCTCAGAGCCATGCTCTCAGTGCCGTCTGGCAGGTGCCAGGGCTAGCAGAAGTAACCAGCAACTTTCAGGTAGGCAGGGCCCTGAGCAGAGCTGTCTGGGGAGTGGGGTGGAGCTGAACAGGGTGCACAGTGTTACATACCAAGTCTGGCTTTCCTTTTAGGGTTTCCATACCAAGATCCTCACTCTCTTTAGGGGAGCCATTGGTGGCTCTACTCTTTCGTCCCGTCTTCGCCTCGTGCTCACTTTGGCGGCCCTGAGTGGCAGAGAGTGTCACTCTCGGTGGTGACTACATGCACCCCGACAAGCTCAACCAGGTGGGGTTAAAGAAGCACTCAGTTTAGAAAACAGAAAACAAACAGTTTTTCTGCCAGAGGTGGGGGCTGTTAATAAAAGTTAAAACATTTCTGCAAGCCCTACGACAACAGCATCTTTTAGTGAGCCAGGTTCAAATTCTGCAGTTTATGCTTTGCAGCCTCTGTAGTCTATATCTACCAAGTGTGTATTCAGTATATGATCACAGCCCGAGCTCTGCAGCCTGCCAGGGAACTTGCTCTCTGCATCTGTGAGCACCAGGAGCCCATGGGCCTGCCCAGACTCCCAAGCAAGGCGGCCACTAACATGCTGCATACGCAACGGAGCTCCACATCCCACTCCTCCTGAATCTCATGTCAGGACGATGTCCCAACCCCAACACAGGAGGCCACTCCTCAGGGTTGCGCCCCAAACCACCCAAACCCCAAAACCCACACCAATAACCCACCTTACAAACCAGAACTGACAGGGGTAGGCGTGTGGTTAAAGGCAGGTGGTGCAGCTTCCCTCACCACACCCCCACCCAGGCGGCCCCAGGGAGCCCCGCACACCTTCATCTTCCGGAGCCGGGACTTGTTGTCATGGCACCAGGCCAGGCACGTGGCCGTTTCTCGCCTCTCCAGGGACTCCTCTACTTCTTTGGCCGTCAGGAACATCTCGATGTTCACCAGGTCCTTGGGGGAAGGGGCAACTTGAGTCAGAACACACTGGCTCAGGGGCCCTTTTGCACCTGTGACCCATAAGCAGGGACATACAGCCATGGCCCTCCCAACCCTGCCTCCTGCCAAAGCACAGCCCCAGACCACACCTGTAGACACCCAGGGAGCAACATCAGGGAGCAGGAAAGGCTTCTGAGGACTGGGAAGCTCACAAGCGGCAGACGCCTGCTGGTTAGAGGACCAGGTCCCTGCCTGTCATTATGGACAGGGGCCAGCAGGAAACCCAACAACCAGCACACCAAGGTACACATGGACAAGCACCCATCTTTCCTGCCCCAGGGCAGTCCCCAGCACAAGGTACACACCCCAAAGACTCCAGCACAGGGGATCCCTCCCATGGCCCCCCAGCACAGGGTATGCGCCCACAGCCCCCACACAGGACCAGCCCTGCCATGACCCCCCCCAGCACAGGGCACCTCCCCATGCTCTGCTGCATAGGTTACGTGGTCCCATGGCCCCACAGTACAATGTGTAGTCCCAAATGGAGAACTCTACCTTCTAGAGCCAGAATTTCCTCGTCAAGGAGATGGAAACAGCACTCCCTACTGTGTTGAGCAGAACTGAAACCCAGACCCCAGCAGGACAGAGCAACAGAGTCAAGCATGGGAGGCAGAGGGCACACCTGCCAGAATGGGCCCAGGATGTGGGGGTTTCTCTGCAGCCCCAGACAGAAATATGAGATGAGCCAGTCCTGGCCACAGGTACACACCAGCAACAGCTACAGCAAGCAGAAGCCCAGGACGGTTAGCTGCACAATGCTGAGGTGTTTGCCTGACCCTGGTGGGTGTACAGGCAAGAGCCGCAGCTCCACCCCATCCCAGCCCTTCACAGGAAGACTGAAGCCCCAGCCACCCACTCTCACTGCCTGCTTTGTTTTGGGAATTTGGTATTGTGCAGAAGGTACAACTGGGGTGTTGAAGAGCTTCCCGTCCCTCCTTCACAAAGCCTGTGCCCTTTGGGAAGGGCCAAGTAACAGCCACATGTGCTGAGCTCTGGAGGACTCTCACAGGGCCAGGGATCCCCAGCAGTGAAGGGACCAAGTAAGACCAGCAAGATCAAGTGACTGAGATGAGGAGATGTGTGCACATCACAAAAAAGGGAAGCTATATGAAGAGCATGGGAATTTCAAAAGCTGAATTTCTCATATACCTAGAAAGGACTTAAGCAAAATCATGAATAATAATCAGCTTGTTGACCAGGAACAGCATGCCCAGCAGAGTATCCCTTTAGGGCCCTGGATAAGCCACACAGTGGCTCATATCCTGTGGCTAGTATCCCATTGGGATCACACCCCAGGGCAGCTCTCCTGTGCACATGGTCACAACGAAGTAGAAGGAGGAGCCCAAAGCTGCTGGCAGCTCCTTCCAGAAGGCGTGGCTGTGCAGAGCATGAAGAGCCCGTGTGGAAAAGGCAGCGGGAGATACAGGCTTTTCGGCAGAAGCAGTCAGACTAGCACTTTTCTGATTTCAAGATCAACAGTGACTAATGCATGCTCAGAAGCGTAAGGTGGAAGTTAAAGCCAATTACTTATAAGAAAACCAGCAAGAGAAACACTAAGCCAGTGCATAGGCTCAGCATCATGATGCCCTGTGTGCCAAGTGCCGGCTGGGTGCTCGGGGCCAGTTCTTTCAAGAATGCTGACCAGTGCTTGCCCTCCTCTGGCCTCACCAGGCACAGTCAGGCTGACCCACTGGTGGAGTCAGGTGGGCCCACTACGAGAAAGTCCTATCCCATGGTCCTTAGCAACTCCTGGGACACCCAGACATTCCTCAGAAGCCTCATGGACAGCATTCCCAACTTCACACAGTCTAAGGGGGAACCAAATGGGTCCCAATGAGCTCCCATAACCCTACATCCTGATCACCAGGCTCGGGAGTGAAGGAGGAGCAAGGAAGTGGGCTGTGTGGCTGGCTGACATGTTAGGAACAGTGAGGCCAGAGGCCCTTTCTGTCCTCATGCAGACAGAACCCAGGGCTGCTTCTGGTGGGCAGAACACAGGCCTGACAGGGCGGGGCTGGAACTTGGCATGTGGCCCTGAACATGAATTCAAACTCAGCAGCTGGACAGTAAGGCCAGGCCAGGTCCTGCCCAGCCTTTCTAGCCATGGAATCTGGGCCTTGGTGTGTGGTTCTGCCCTCACCCTGTCCCCTAGCACAAGATGGCTCTTCACCACCATGTCCCTTTTGGTCCCACCCCATGCCTCATCCCGGCGAAGCCAACCCCAACAACCTTCTTAGAATTGTCAGCTGTCTCCTCCTTGATGCTCCCTGAGTGCCCTGCCTTGTGTCGATTCTGCACCCTCCTTTCAGGTCACGCTTCTCCCCCGTCAGAGCACCCTTGGGGAAAGGAGGCGCCTGCAGCTTGTACTGCACCAGCCACTCCAAGGTAAACATAGCCACAAAAGCCAACACCTGGGAGCACTGAGTGGCCGCCCACATGGAGATGTGCCAGCCAGCAAGGGAGGGTAGACAGGCACAAGGGACCATTGGGCACCAGGGCAGGGACGTGGTGGCCCCTCTGCCAAGACTGGAGCGTAAACAAGAGGTGCCCATCCACTGCATCCAGTGGAAGGAAAGAAAGAGGCAGAAAGGGGGATGACCCAGGCAGGGCAGGAGCCATCAGGCACACACACTGGAGTCTCGGGGAGCTGGCCAACAGAAACGAAGTCTGCTCCTAAGGTCCCACAGCCACCTGAGGCTGGACCATGAGGCTGCAGGGCACCAGGAGCCCAGCCTTGGTTACTGGCTGGGGACCTCATGCAGCTCACTAATGCACATATCAATCTGTGCATCAATGGCAATGCCACACCCTACAGGGCAGCCAAGAACAGCAAAGCCAAGACCACACAGAACTGGACAGGGGCTCCCTCGTGCATTCCACTCACTTAACAGCATGTGCCCACACATTGCCCTCCCTTCTGCCACGAGACAGATACACAAATACAGGCGGGAAAGTTCAACAAAGAAGCTAGGAGAGGGCACAAAGCATGGCACCATTCTCCCTAAGTAGCCAGGGAGGGTGTTCTAGGGAGCTGCCATCCAAGAGGCCTGAACAGGGCCGCAGCAATCTCAGAGTTCAGGAAGAGAGGGGAGAGCTGGAGCAGTGGGCAGCAGAGCATGAGAAGCAGGATGCAGTGCACTGTTCTTAGAGGGCAGTCCAATGAAGACAGGGTAAAGAGAGCACTGCTCAGCAGACAGATGCACAGGACGGGCATGGCGCCGAGGCCATTCTTGGGCTGGGAGTGGCCAGTCTCATGCCATGGGTGGTGCTGCCAAGACTATGGCTGTCATGCTCTGGTGGGTGTCACAAAGGTGCAGGTGGGAGCCAAGTGGTACCACAGGAAAGGATCAGTAGGTCTGATGGAAGGGCAGAGAAAGGAAGGCCCCCGGAGGCCTGAGATGAGGGCAGAGTGTGGCTGGTGCCAGGAGAGGTCACTGGCTTGACAGAGGACTGGGGAGGCCAGGCCCAGGTCCAGGCCCACGAAGGCTCACTGTGCTCTGTCCTGCACAGGGGTCCTGCCTCCACAGCTTCTGGATGCTGGCATTTAGTGCAGGTAGAGCACATGCCATGTTATGTCTGAGAGCCGTAGACCCCACAACATGGATGGATGCTTGACAGCAGGGGGTCCTTGGCCACGGGCACCTATGGACCTGTGAAGACCAGTTGAGGGTAGCAGAGGTAGCAGGGTTCTGCCTCTGCCCAGTGTCAGGGAGGCCTCCAGCACCATGATGCATCCTTCTACCAGAAGCCCTTGGTGTGAAAGTGCTCCACAGGCAGGGGCGACTTGTCCTGCACCTCAACATGGGAGCCAGTGAAGCCACACTCCTGGGAAACATCCCCACTCAAGGTAAGCCCAAAGCACTCACAATGTGGCAACAGGAAAGGGCCTTGACAGGAAGGTGGGGAAGTGAAGTACCAGGTGGGCCAAGTCCCTTTCCATGTTTCCCCATTTGAATGTGGTCAACTACCCAGGCCAACAAGAAGCACAGGGTCACTGTTCTCAAACCCTGGCTTCCCCAGCCAGATGTGTTCCCGTGGGCAGATGTAGCACGCAGCCCAGCCCACCTCGATGCCACTCTGGCGTGCCAGCTTCACGGCCGTGCTATAATAGCCGCAGCGTAGGAGGTGCTCCACCATCATGCGGTCCATGCGCTTCCTCTTCCACATGCTGGCCGCAGCAGGCTGGTCACTGCTGTGCTCCTTGAGATGCTCGATCCTGCGCTTGCACAGCTTGGCGCTCTCATCCTCAGCCTGGATGGACTCCACCGCCTGAGCACACACAGAGACACGCTCAGGGTGGGAGGCGCTGGGGCCTGCCCATGGGGATGCAAGCACCATGCCCCAGGGCTCCAAAAAAACAAGCGGGAAAGCAAAAGCCAAGCTGGGGACATTATTGGATCCTAGGCAGAAACAAAAGGAACCAGAACCTCTGTCCCTGAGGCAAGTCTGTGCTTCCTCTAGGACTCACTGACAGAGACGGTCACAGTCTACCACTTCTTCCAGCTGTGTTGTTTTTGAATATATGTATGTTCTGAAACTATGCTGCAGATCTGTACCTTTTGAGATTATCAAGTTACTTTTCAAAACTTTTATACTATTTCTTAAAGTCAGCTTTGTTCAAAATTAATATCGGATGGAAATGCTTTTGACCTGCACTGCCCAACAGAGCTGCCCCCGCCACGTGTGACGTCCAGCACCCAGTACAACCAGGAGCTGGGCGCTGGATGGCGCGGTTCCAGGCCTCCCAGTCACTCCCTTCAGCAGGCACAGGGCTTTCCGGCTCCCTGATGCTGGGAGAGCAGACTGCCAGCCTGCTGCGCCCTGGGTGCAGTCCTTCCCTGGCAACAGCTGGGATTCTTCTCAAGCTCTGGTTTCATCATGGGGTTACCTGTCAGGCCTACTCCTTTGCATGCAGTTGAGGACTCTGGACGGGTGCTTTAGCACCCCAGCTCTTGGCCCTCACCATGCTCCCGGCCCTGGCTCTGGCCACTGCCAGGAACCTACGCTCTATTCCATGCCTCTCCTCTTCCCTATCTGCACTACACCATCTCCAAGCAGTCTCTTTTAGCTGTCTCACAGCTATGGGACTATCAACACACTGCAGTTTTCATTTTGGTCATCATTCACATGTGTATATATACATTCATCACACATCGTATGTGTACACACACACACACACACACACACACACACCCCGTCTTTCTTTGTTGGGATGGAACCCAGGGCCTCGAGCATACTACGCAAAAGCTGATCACCGAGCTTCATCCTCAGCTGGTTATTCTATTTTTACTTTCTTGACATCTACTCCATTCTTTCAGACTCCAAATGACTCCTCTTGCTTTCAGATCCCTGCAGATTCGGGCTCCCTTCCCCTCTATCTGATAGCCCCACACCTGAAGCCTGTGCAGATCACTGCTGTTGTTTCTGCTGGTCCCTGATCGATGATGCTCCTCTGCTCCTGGCTGCCTTTGTGTTGGACACTGTACTTGGAAAATTAATTCTAAGGACGACCTGAGGTCAGAACGACAGCCTTCTCCCAAGAGAGCCTGCTTTCCTAGGCCTGAGCCTGAAGGCTCTGTGGCTGGGACCACTCATGCTGCACTGATGGCTCCACGCCCGCAGCCCCCGGTTCTGAACCTGGGCTGCCATGTCCTGTCATCATGAGTCCACTCCTGCAGCAGCCTCATCTGATGTACAGAGCCTTGGGCCTGGCTCAGCTCCAGCAAGCCTGTGTTCCTAGCCCAGGGCAGTAGCAGTTCCCTGTCTCTTCACCTCTGACCCCCTCGCCTCCAATTTGAACTGGTGATGTTGCTATGCCTAAGGAACCCTCCGACATTTTTAGGAAGATGTCCTAAAAACTCTTACCTCACTTTCTGTGTTTTTTTCAGTGGGCAGGATAGTCCAAACACCCTGGCCTACTAGTCCCAGCAGTAAGAAATCCCACAAGCAGTTCTGAGGTCAGTCTACAAGTAAACAATCAATCTGCCACGGGCCTGGCTTCCCACCCCTGGGCTTGAGACACTCCCACAACCAAGACAACCCAGTCCTCTGCTCAGCCCAGGTGTCCTGCACTCCTCCCACAGCTCACCCCTCTGCCCACAGGATGCTGGCCAGCACACCCAGCCACCACAGGGGGCAGCACATCTGGGGTCAATGGAAGGGCAATAACACTGACCTTCCTCTTGAGCACACTGAGCTTCTCCACCACTCCATCCAGGAGGCTGACCACAGAGTCCACAGCTGGGCAGCTACTTAAGGTCTTCTCCAGCTCAGCCACCACCATGGTGACGTGACTTGTCTCCCGGTCGATGTTTTTCTGAGCAGCCCGGAAGCGTTTATTCAGTGTTTCATAGGGCACCTGGACAAAAAAAGACAGTGAGAATCCCTGGCCCCAATCTTAGCTAGGTGTGGGATACCCCAGCACGCAGGCCTCCTTTCCAGCGCTCCTGGAGGCAAGCTCGGAGACATAGAACTTGACCAGGCCCAGCAAAGTGGAAGCCCTTTGAGGGAGGACATCGCAGGGCCTGGATGGGGTCTAACACAAAGAGGCACTGCCCAGAATCTACAATATGCAGCCCAGTGTTCCACAAAAACCCTTTTCTGGCAGTACCAGTGATGGAACCCAGGAGTGTTTACCACTGAGCTACATCCCAGCCCTCTACATTTTGTATTTTGAGATAAGGTCTTGCTAAGTTGCTGAGGCTGGCCTCGAACTTGCCATCTTCCTCAGCCTCCGAGCTGCTGGTATCACAGGCATGGGCCACTGTGCCCAAAGAGTTTTTTAGTATATATTGACAAAACAGTCCCAAAGTTCACACAGAAAAACAAACAGCTAAGGAAACTACCCAAAAGGAGAACAGCGACAGAGCTTTCCTCTCAGTCAGTGAGAGGGCTTGGCAGGCAGAACGGCCACTGTGGAGGCCCATCGGCACAGGCAAGGAGGTACAGAAAGAGTGGTCCACACAGCTCACGAAGCTGTCCACACGTGTGAGATTACAAACACACATTTAATAATCTCCACAAGGGAACGTTTATACCATCCCGGTTATAAAAAACCCTATTACCTATAGAAAATTTAGGAAACAGCCTTAAGTCACGAAGACTCTACTGCCTGTCGCCCCTCCCATCTCCCAGCTCTGCCACCATGAGCAACATCAGGTGCCAGCCACCATGCCCTTTCTCCGCCCCAAATGGGGTCCCGGGGTAGATGCTGTCGCTAGGGCCCCATCTGACCTCAGTGCACCGTCTGTCCAACTTTGTCTGCCATCACAAGCACGTTCCATGGGGAAGGAAAGACTGTCAGGGGCTCTGCCAGCCCTCGTGCCGGGCAGGCAACAAGCCCTGCAATGAAGCCACTGAGGAAGGCGGGGGTGCAGGGAGGGAGACATGACCCTGGCTTAGAGGCTGGCTTCCTCAATCAGGGACAGCAGGATGATGGCAGAGACAGGGAGAAGACTGACCTCTGATTTGCCCAGACCTGCTTTTCTCCCTCAAAGTGGGGACATAGGATGGGGGTAAGGCCATTACTGTGGTGCTGGTACCCTGCCACTCCCTACTCAGCCTCCCGCTGCCAGATGCCCTCTACCCAGACATCCCCTGGGGCCATCAGGGACCACTGTGGGCACAGTATGCTAGGGGTACACATTCTCAGGAGGTCATGCCTAATGTCTTATTGGCACAAGCACCAACAGATGAGCCCTGTCAGCCATTCAGGGAGGCCCAGTGATGTTAGGTGAAATCACTTCCTGGACCACACTGGAATTCATGCTTTCTCACAAAGTTGGGAAAGAGGGGGGAGAAGTACCAAACTGCAGCATGCTCACTATACCAAAAAGGACAGAGGCCAGCCTGGTCAAAGGGTGAGGGGCTGCAGGGCTCTCCCAGCACAGCAGGGCAGCAGCAGAACATGAGAGCACCATCCCTGAAGGCCCTGCTCTTCATGCATGGCCAGCCCAGGGAAAGTGTAGCTGTACAGAGTATTCTGCAGGACCCTCAGGACCCCATACTACCTGCCTTCAAGGATGCCTCTCCTGAGAATTCAGTACCTCTTTACCAAAAAAGGGTGGGGGGGGTGCTTTTCTTTCCAGTCTATATCCAGTGAATGATGAAGTCCCACCAGACAGCAATTTAGCCTGGTACCTGGCATACAGCAGGCTCTTAGCAAGTATCTGACGATGAATGAAAGCAACAAAGCATAAAAGCAAGGCCCCCTGGGCACTCTCTGCCCCCACCAACCCAGCACCTGGCCCCTTTTCTCTAGCAGAGCTCTCCAATGTGCCATTCTATGTGGGTATGTCCTGCCAGGAGGCAGAATCCTGGGAGGCAGAGTACATATCTTAGTACTCAACCATACCACCACCTAGTATGGCAACACAAGGAACTCTCTGCAATTAGATTACGAGACAGAGTCACCCTTAACACGGATTCTACAGCACCTGCAGTTCCCCACAGTCACCCTCTGGACAGCCCCAGCTGCCTGCTGCCCCTCCACCATGCCTATACCACACACAGATTGGGCAAAGCATCAAGCCACAGCTGGGCCACGGACAGAGGCTCCTGTCAGACGCACAAGGCACCAGGGCAACACAGGACATGGTCATCAGGAGGCACACTCTGCAATGGTCTCTCCATGTTTTCTCCGCAATTCCTCTGTGTAAGCCTACACTGCCTCAAAATAAAAAGTCTGAAATAAGGTCAAAGCAAAACGACAGGACCCCTCTAGAAAAGATAAGAGCCATGAGAGGGAAAAGCTGCACTGGGGGTTGGTGGCACAGAACTCGGCTCAAACGTCCTGACAGGCTCTGGGGATCTGTCCAAGTACAGGAAGGAAGGCCACTGCTCTCAAGAGGAGAGCTCCAGCTCAAGGCCACCAGTCCTGCGGCACTAACAAGCAAGACCCAGCCAACTCCGCTGGCCTTGGTGCGCCCACTGGCAGACAAGGCTCAGACCAGGCAGGGACATGGAGCACTAAAGGGCTCCCCCAGCACGTTCCCTCCCACCTCCCCCAGCACCCAGACCATCCTTGCAAGACATCTATGGGGAAGAGCGCGGGCTGCTCCCCATTTACCTGGACTCAGGCCTTCACCAAGCACAGTAGCAATGAATCACTAAAAAATGGACTGAAGTCAATCCCAACACACACAGTAAACAGAACCCCAAGGTCTTATGATCAGATTCAGTCGTTAAAATAGATTTCAATAAAAATAAACCAAAAAAGTAACTAAAAACTGCACCCACTGCTTGATCCAAGCACGCGCCAGGTGACGTATGCAGGTCTCAACTGTGAGGCCAGAGAGTCACCCTGACACACCCACTGGGACAGGAACAAAACCCAGCAGTGGGTTTCCACAGGACTGCCTAGACCTGCACCCTCCCCGACCCCCTGGATCGGAGCACAGCTGACACTAACACATCTGAGCAGCCCCACATCTTGAGAGAGAAGCTCAACCCACAGAGCCAACGGCAAAGCAAGTTCTGCAAGTGTGGCATGTTCATTTTTAACTTTTATCCAAAAAGGAGACAGGCAATGCCCTGACACTCATCAGTATCAAGTCCCAGCAAGTGATACTGCAAGGTCACAGTCCAAGTTACCTGTTTTTTTTTGTTCTTGTTGTTGTTTGTTTGTTTTGTTTGTTTGTTTCAGGTTTTTTGATGAAAGAAACCAATTCAGGATCTGCTACACCTTCAGAGAACAGTACACAGCCCGCATGGCCAGTGGCCCACTGTGCCACTCAGGCAGACACCCAGCACAGACATTCACTGACCTGCCAACTGCCATGACAGGTCCTAAATGCTCTCGGTTGACTTCTTGCTGTCTTGGGCCCCAAACTAGGCCCTAATCACTCTGGGCAGCCCAGCCTCTAATCCTGACCCTGACCTCAAAATGACCCAGCTTGGACTTCCTGCAGCCACTCCTCCCAGGGAATGACTCAACCTCCCTGCCCTTCGCCCTCAGGGCCATGTCCAACCATATCTCTCAGGCTCTTCAGTAAGGCCCCCACCTGAGCTGCCCACTTCCACCTTTCTCGCTGGCCCCAACCTGGCAGAAAGGCCATGCCTCTCCCCTCACGCCCCTGGCTGGGTGCCTGGAGCCTATGGTATCCAACTGAGATCGGGGATCCAGGATGGATGCTGAAGCCCTGCCCACTCACACTGAGGCTCTCAGAACTCGCATCACATCACGTGTGCACCTACCAAGCCAGGAAACAAGCTTCCCATGCGAGTGTCCTCCCTACATCCACCCCTCCATGGAACCAGGGCAGTCCTGAGCATAGCCTTCCCTCCTCAACTTAATCCCAGGAAAGAGGGATGGACACCTTCCACATTGTGCCAACTCTCCCCAAGCTGTCCTAGGGTGTCCTGGCTGTTAGTGCCAACAGCTCCTTCACAGGCTCCTGCCCAAAGGGCATCTGATAGTGAACAATAGAGCTCGGATGCTCAAGAATAACCTAAGCCCAATTTTAATTCAAGAACGAGGGCAAAGGAAGACACTTTCAGATACTCAAGGACTAGAAGGATAGCAAGCACAAGTTCTTTCTGGGAGGAAAAAAGCTCAGAGTCAGCTCTCAAGCAAAACGCAAGTCTAGGAGAAGGGCAACAAAAGATACAAGAAAAGAATGTGAGACAAAAGAGACCAAAGCAAGATATAGTTCAACTAAGTGAAGATGGGTAAAATGGCCACAAATTCAATCGACCCTAAGGAAGAACCAGGGTAAATGAGACACAACATTAAAAACACACTCCTAACAACAAAATGGGCAAATGAGGCCACACCAAACTCACACCTTCTGTGCAGCAGGAAGCAACCTACAGAGCAAGAGGCAGCCTGAAGGCCAGGAGCCAGCACTTGCAAGTCACCGCACCAGACAATACCTAGAACTTGGAAATCAAAGGCCATCCAATGGAAACCATGAGGAGACCTTCTCTGAAGATAACAAACAAGCACAAAGAGAGGTGCTGCACACGACAGTCACCAGCGACCTGCACATCAAAACCATAACAAGGCGTCCTCACCTGCCTGTTCAGATGACGTTCAGAAAAACACCAAGAGTGTGTCAGCGAGCACGTGGAGAAACTGTGACTCCTGGCAGAGCTGTGGGAACATGCAAGGTGTGCCATTGCAAGCGGCATGCACTGCAGAGCTGAGCTGTGATGCCCACACCCACTTCCGGGGCACACTCAGATGAACCCAGAGCAGGATGTCCAAGAGAGGCATGATGCCACATGAGCAGCAGTGGCATTCCAGCAGTCAAGACTAGAAGCAGCCCAGCACCCACGAGTAGGCCAGCGATGAAGAGCACTTGGGCACATGCACGCAACAGACTGTCCCCCAGCCTCTCTGTGGCCCGATATGATGAA